GCAGTCTTGAAATCTTCCCAACAAATCTGATTTACATCTTTCTCAATCTGAAATAATTTCCACCAGTCTGAAGCTGCTCCTTGAAGTTGATAGAAGCATAAAGCACCTTCTGATGGTCATTACATTGAGCTATGTTAAGTTGTCGCTCCACAGCTCTAAGCCAGTCATCAGCTTCTAGTGGGTCGCTTGCATGAGAGAATGTCGGTGGATGTCCCTTGATAAATTCACCACGCTTGTCCCTTGGTGGTGCTTGATGTGGGTTGATGCATATATTCTGAACATAGGTTTGCAACAATTGAGTCTGTGTCATTATAGATTGCTCTATAGTTGGAGGATTTGGTGGAGGTGGATTAGCATTGGGGGCATTCCTTCTGGCATCACGTTAAGCACTTCTCCTGGTAGAAACCATCTGTTTGCAACATTTAGCACAATTATTGGTTGTAATTCATGATCCGAAAGTAGTTCACATGATAAAACAATCAATCTGAAATTTTCTGGACGAGAACTACCAGTAGCAGTTCAGAAGGACAGCCATATCTCAAGTTCCAGAAATCATATGAAGACATTCCTTATTTGGATGGAAAACTTATGAAATTTCCTACTACTTTCGTATAGACCACTTTCCTAGATTGTGAGGTTAAGTTAGTCGAAAACAGGGCGCAACTGAAACTGTTCAGACTCCCAGATAGTGTAGAAACGTAACTTGTAGAGGTCATATCTCCCAAACCATAACAGACATGAAGGTGATTCCAGTGGCATATGAAAGATACAGAAGTCTACTTTCATCCATAAAACTTTTATGAATTTTGGGCATCTATCTTTGGAGATATAACCCAATGAACATTGACTGTTTAGAAAACAGCACGCGCAGAGACGAGAAAAATCAACCCAACTATCTAATTATTGGTCCTTATGCCTTATCATGTAAACTAAACGAAATTGTGAGCATAACCCACAAAATCATTGCATGCATGGGACAAGACCTCCCACGTCGTTGTCGTAGCGGCCCAACAAACCGTCTATTCGCGGGTTGATTTACGAAATTTAGAATTTGAATTTGGTAGTCTTTGATTTATCGCGAGAGAAAAACAACATTATTTTGGTTTTTGGTTTAGGGTTTTGAAACCAACGAAAGCGAACAAATTTGCAAAGCTATGTGTGAATGTGAACGACAACTGTCTATTATTATGTTGTCTATTATTAGTCCTGTTCGCTTCTCTTATAATCTATACTGTTAAAATATTATTTTTTCTCATAATAAATCAACCGGAACGATATTTCTACTTGTTTTTTCAGCGAAGCGAACACCGCGTCAAATCAGCGTGGTGCTGGCAGACTCCGCGTTGGCAGGCAGACGCCGAAGACCCAAATCTTGGCTTCTTGCTGCAGGTAAACACGCAGGCAGGCTCGCGACATTTCGCAGCGGGATGTCATGGCCGCACGGGGTTGCCCTGCCCACGACCACGAGCCACGAATTTCCTCCGCAACCGCAGAGCGCAGCGTGCAGCAGCGACGTGCGACGCAGATGCAGCGAAACGGGACGGGCGCCGGGCGGGTCTCGCCAATCAATGCGCTCGGGTCGGGGCCCTCGCCCGTCTGTCCGTCCTCGCGTCGCGTCGCCCCCCGCCCCGATTTTTCCTGCGCTCTTTGAACGCTTTTCCCCGCTTTTCCCGGGCCCGCCAGCTCTTGTCCTCTTCGCAGCGCGGTCCTCCTGTGGCCACCCCCTCGCTGACAGACGGGGCTCCGTAAGAACCGGGACCCAGCTCTCAGCCAGGCACCACACGTCCGCCAGCGTCCCTTGCTAGCCTGGCTCTGGCGCTGGTCGCGTGCTACCAGTGTCCCGCGGGCCCCTTTGAAAATATCTACGACCGTGGGCCCACGTGTCAGACATGCCAACAGTGACTCGTGTACGGCCGCCGTCTGGCTGGCAGCCATTGAGCGTCGAGCGGAGCGAACACGGACAGCGAGGGGACGGAGGACGGGAGGAGAGTCGGAGACGGAGGGTGACACGCGGAATCTGGCAAGCGGGCCCCGGGGACAGCGGGGCAATAACGATGCCTCACGTACGGCTCCGTCGACACAGCGGGCGAGAGCGAGCGGCCGCTTGCCCGAATTTTTTGTTTTTTTCCCCTTTTTCCGAAACATTTTCACAAATACGTCTATGCAGTTATGCTTTTAAGATCAGATCCTCGACTCGGCGTCGTCGTAATTAGCGCCGAGATTACACATATTGGCCCGTTCGCTAGTTGGTTTTTGGTTGGGTACATTTGGTCTTTGGTTTATTGTGAGAGAAAACATCATTTACTTTCAAAAAAAACAATGCGAAACGGTGATTAAGACTAGAACCTTTGGCGCCAAGGTCCTTGGCTGACGTAGACATCAATACAGACGTGACGTTGACATGGCAACTACCATGGCGCCATAATTTTTGGCGCCGAGCATGGCCACAACAAATCAACGAAGCTATCTTTTTTGGAAAGGACAGTAAAAGCTTTGCCACAGATTTATTAGAAGGATAAAGGTAAGAAAACAACAAATATGACTTGCCCAGACGGCCACCCACTTAAAACTCACAACTTACATCCGTTGGTGGCCGTAAAAAAAACTCATCTTCTCCCCTCAAATAGAGGGGGAGTTGGATCTCCCCCAATAAGGAGGACCCCATGGTAACCGCCTCTTCTTCCTCCTGCGTGCTGTGAACAATGGCCGACCCCGGGAGGTTGGCTCTTTCCCGCGCTCGTCCGGGCAAGCACAACCACTTTCCGGACATCGCCATCAGCACACAACAGCTCGCCCTCCATCCATGGTGCTGGTAGTCAACGTCTACGGCGCCCTGCTCTTGTCATTTGTCGCCCTCGAGGCAAGCGGCTTCCTTCCTCACCCACTGAGGGCTCCTTCCTTCCCACGGCACAGCGTTCCTCCCACGGCGCGGCGCTCCTCCTCTACCCCTCCGGATCTAGCCCCGGCGGCTTGTGGAAGGCTGGATCCAGCGCGCGCTCCTCCTCTTCTCCACCGCGGCGGCGAGCTCTCTCCTTCTCGCGGCAGGGGAGGTCGGATCCAGCGCGCGCTACTCCTCCTCGCGGCGACGGTGGCCAACTCCCACTCCACCATCTGTAGATGTGGCGGGAGAGGGCGCATGTGGCGGTGGGCGGCTGGATCTGGCGGCTGGCGACCGGATTTGGTGGCTGCGCGCGGTCCAGGCACCGGTGAGCGGATGCGGCGGCGATGGCCCGTGGATGGGCTCGGCGGGCTTGTCTAAGGATTTTTTTTGTTTTTCCTGTTTGATTTACGCAGGCGGGCCAACAACCGCCTCCGTAGTTCTCCCATGAACGGTGACCTTTACTTGGATGCGGTTGTTTTGCCCACTTCTATAAATAAAAACGACCTCCTTCGTAAAGTTTTCTGTAGTAGTGACTGGCCTCGTCTTACTGCTCCTCCATCCCAACACCCAGTGGCGGCGACGACAACGTGACTGTGCAGCCCATGGCGGTGGTTGCCTTTCTGCGACCGACCGTGCGGGGCATGGCACGGATCTGGGGAGGAAGGGGCCACGCCATGGTTGTGATCGGAGGTCCGAATCCTAGGGCCCCGCCCACGCCTCGTTACTAGGACATTGCGGTGCGGTTGCTCGCCGCTTCGAATCGCTAAGGATGGCAACGGGATATACCCGTCGGTATCGCCGGAACGTTCTCTCTTCCCGCCACTGGAAAAATCATCCCGCCCCTCGCCCCCGTTAATCGCTCTCGGTATAGATTCTTGCCCATCCCGTGCCGTCGGGCATCGGTTGATATGAGATACTCGACGGCATCGCATACCCGATAAACAAGGACACTTGGGGTCGTGACTTTGCAATCGGAGACGTTTTTCTTCACCCGTATATAAGTTTGAGTCTCGGAGATGCCGAGGAGAAGGAGCGAGGTTGCGAGGAGGACGAGCAAAGGTGGCAGAGAGACCTAACTGAGGAAGCGAGGGGCACGAGCGCTCGTGAGGCAGGCGTGCTTGTGCTGCTGACGGAGATGGTGAGAAAAAATTGAACTAGGGTTCCTAGAACACACAAACTATATATATGATTGTTCAGATTTGGGTCAAAATACCTATGTTGAGCTTCTTTGGGCCTAATACTCGCATGACAGCTCAAATAGTCGGGTTCCCCAACGGGTAACGGGGACGGATAAACAGGGAACGTTCCCGTACCCACTATACCCATCGGGTATGGATTCTTGCCTATTTAGATGCCCGCGGGTAAAGATATGATCCCATCCCCATCCCCTAATGGATCAAATACCCATCGGGTATCGGGTATCGAGGCCCCATTGCCATCTTTATAACTGGCTGCGGGGAAAGAGAGAAGACCACGTGGGAGAAGGGAAGGAGGGAAAAAAAAAAGAAAATATAAACTTCTCATTGACAGTAGGATCCATTTATATTGGGACGAGTTATCAGTGATCTATAAAAGTATCTCTTCCAATAATTTGAAAGACAGTATTAAGTCTTCTCCATTAATATTTTATTGGAAGAGTTGTAGGAGTTGCTCTTAGAAAATAGCAAAGACCTCGTGCAACTAGCTTAAAAAGGAAGAACATATAACTAATTTATAACAGCTACCAAATTTCAAAAACACATACAAGGCTACAAGCACATAGTTAACTAAAAGGAAACTGACAAAAACTAGATAACGACGGCCAGGTAACACCCACCAAGACTTGGCAGCAGCTACGTACACGCACCATATGTCATCATTGCCGAGCACTGCGACAACAGTAACAAAGAGCTCCAACTTCACATGGTGGACCACACAGTCAATACCACAATGGTACCACCCCTACATATAGCTACCACCAGAGCCCATAGACAGAGGAGGATCGCAGTGCATCACCATTGCCAAGCATCCTGAGTTCCTCACCCCAACAACCACAAGCTACGCACTTCGCAGGCCGCCTGCGCACACCATTCCACACAAACCGTGAGCGCGAGACCCATTCAGAGCTCTGCACCTAGCCATGGCGGGAGAAGTAGCTGCCTTGCTCGCATCCGGTTTCGTCAGCATCGCCAAAGATAAGCTGGGCTCTGCCATCGCAGAGCAGGCCAGTTTGCTGTGGAACTTCGGCGTCGACCTGGAGGACATGATGGTTGTTTTTGAGACCATCTCAGCTGTGCTGGAGGACGCCGAGAGGCGATCAGTCAAGGAGAAACTGGTGCAGCTATGGCTGAAGCGGCTCAAGGATGTCGCCTTGGACATCTCTGACCTGCTCGAAGACTACCAAGACACTAGCGACCAAGCAAACGCAAAGGTGCGTAGTTATTGTACACTTAAAGATGTGTCCAGCAGCTCGCCTTTCATTTATTTTCAACCATGGTGCGCAAGTGAATATTTCATCAGATCAGGTCAGGTCGCAGAGATTAGCACGTGCGGCTGTATGAGATAATTTTAACTAGAAATACTCGCGGCCTTGCCGCGTATGGCCTTTGCAGTGTTGACGGGCCTTTTCTTTTTCCGTTCGAGTCGTTTTAAAAAGTGTAGTAGGATAAGTATTTATTTATTGCAGATACACGGCGAACGCCGTGGTTGGAAAATTTGAGTGCTCGTCTTTTCTCTGTTGATAAAGTGTATACTGCTATACAAAGACAGTAAGTGCTCAGATACACAAACAAGTATCGTTGGAGTTTGTTAATCATCAGCAACCAGGAAAGTAATTTAGCAGCCCCGCGCGCACCTCGCTCCTACGAGGTTTCCCCCCTTATTCTTCCCCACCGGAGCTGAGTCGGCACTGCTGATTCCGGCAAGGGGAAGAGTGGCCTGCGGCGTTGGAGCCTGCCCCGGGCCCGGGCGCACCGGCGCCGCGCCTCGGCTCCAGCGGAGGCGGCTCATGCCCGCGTGACCACGGGCGCTGCCGGTTGCGCTCGCGCGGTTCGGCGGTGGCAGAAGCCGGGACTTCCCCGAGACTTCATGAAGGTTTTGGAACCGGGCTTTAGTACGAGCCACGTTGAAGTGCCTGATGCCGTTGGTTTGAGATCTGACGGTTGAGAGAGAAGCAGGCTGACGTGGCCCAATGGGAAGCCCTGGTTTCGTGCACGAATCGTTTTTAGAGATTAGATTAGATACTAATCCAAGGCCCGTGCTGTCAAACAAGTAATTTAATAGAGTTGTAGGTATTAAAATTTTTCATATAATTGCATCCTGACAAATAAAACTTGCAATATGTCTTTGCTCATATTCTGAGACAATACTCATGGATATTTTCTTGTGTAGTCCTGAGTGTTAACACTTAATATGTGATTCATTTGCATCCCATTTCCATTTGTGTTTGACATTTTTTTTATTAACTAGCTATCGTGTGTTCCATTGTTTCTTTATCTTTCTCCTGTTCTGATAAACTTTAATTACAGTTACTTTAACAACCTTTTTTATTTCCATTCTTTTTCTTAACCATTTTGTATTGGACCTGATCCATGTGTGTTTAACATTTGTTCAGTTGAAACTCCCATATGTAGTCATATTATGGCTCTTTGTCTTTATCCGTTTGTGCCAAATTTTAGTTACGAATTGTATTCTTTCCATTTCCATCCATAATTCTCCTTTTCTGTCGCATCTCTATATGTGTTGAGTTGAAAAATAGGATTCGAGATTCAGATCACGTCAAGGACGGCGGGTTAAATTCCAGGAAGCCGAGGATCTCTTTAACAAAACAGCCGTGAAGGGGTATCGGCTGATCTGAGCCGTTGATCATGCAATGGGCGGCTGAGATTAGATGGGAGGGAATAGAGAGAGGGTGGCCGGCCAGAACAGTACTCCAGCGCACTGGTCAGCCATTGACGGTGGCGAGAAGGTCACCGGCGCACATGGAAAATGGCCTAGGGCCTCAGTTTGACATGGGAAAAGCACGCGGAGAAAGAGGAGACTATGGCGAACTCACCAGGGGACTTTTCGCGAACGGAGAGGGAGAGCAGATGACACGAGGCTCGGTTGGGCGGACGGGAGCTCCTGCATAGGTTTGGCAATGTCGCTTGAGCAACCAAGAACGAAATAGAGGCCCGGAGAGTGCTGGGGAGCTTCGTCACCTAGACGCGAAGCTCGGCAGTGGGTTACGGACGAAGGAAAAGCGACGGCGTAGTGGACCGAAGTCATGGTGGTGCTGCTAGGCCTTGAGCGGCGTGGCGAGCTCGGAATACGGTGACTACTTCGATTAGGGTTGGAAAAAGAGCGGCGTCTGCACAGGGCTTGGGCTTTATAGAGGTGCAGGCGTGGAGCGCACGCCCAAATCGCACGGAATCCGGGCGGATCGACCCCAGGTAGAGTCCGACTCGGTGACGGAGCATGGAAGGGGATGGCACTGACGTGCGGCCTCGGAGTGGCAGTGAGAGAGGGCACGGTTCTTGGCTAGCAGTCGACCAGAGAGGGGAGAAAGGTGAAGGACAGGGATATTGCGCGACGGGTCACGCTGAATGACAGCGCGCGACCCCCCACGCGTGACCCACTTCCACATTCTGTTGGATGCGCCCGACCCCCCCCCCCCACGCGTGACCCACTTCCACAGTCCGTTGCATGCGCCCGCGCCCCCGACAGCCTACCGCCCATGCCCGACAAGCCTAGCATGTGCCCGCAGCCTGTGGTTCAAGCGTCACGGAAACCAAAAAACAGAAAAGTTTATTTAAGTTACTATAATTTTTAAATGATATATCTGTTTTCAATTCCGTTTGCACTGGAATGTTCTATGTGACAAGGCGAACAAAACTAGACCTCACTGGCCTATGTTTCGAAGAATTTTATTTTAATAACAATTTCTGTGTTAAAATGTGCTAGGAGATTTATGAAAGAAGTTGTTACCATGAAATACTAGACTTGCTACTCCAAAAATATACTAAAGCTTTTACATGGTATGCGCATCGCTTGTTAACATATGGTATAATAAATTTGTTATATATTTATTTACATAAAGGTACTAACCCCTAAAAAGAGTAACAGACCCAAAATAAAAACAATTCGCAACCTAGAGAGGCAAATTATTAAAATAAACAAAATCTAGAAAACTTGACTTGCTGCCAACTGGGGCATTTATTAAAAAATGAGGGTAGAGATACAAAACAACACAGGCTGCAACCTGAGGATAAATTATTAGAACAAGCATTGCATAAGCTGTCAACTAGAGGGTCAAGCTATTATAAAACCCATTATATATAACCTGGGAAATATGACTAGCTGACAGTTGGAGGGATATCTATTAAAAAGACAAGAGTAGCGACCCAAAATAAGACAAGTTGCACCATGAGAGGCAAATTATTAGAAGAAACATTGCATAAGGTGCCAACCTGAAGGGTAAGTTATTATATAACTAATAGGTAGGATTTAGGGATGCATTCAAACCTAAAAGGGTGACTGAAAACTGAAACTAAAAAACATTAAAAAAACCTTGACTGAAAACTAAAATTTAAAAACTAAAAAAAACATGACTGAGAACTGAAAATAAGAAAAAACATTTAACTAAATAAAAGAAACAACGAAAAGATGAAATAATGAAACTAAAAAAAGTATACACAGTAAAAAATGAAACATAAAACTGAAACTGAAATGGGCAACGAAAAATAAAACTGAAATTAACAACTGAGACTAAATAGAAAACAGAAATTAAAAAAAATGACACCCATAACTCATTAAACTCAAAAGAAAACTACAAAATGAAACTAATAACTCATTAAAATAAAAGGAAAGTTTAAAAAATGAAACTCATAACTCACTAAACTAACTAAAAGAATGACCTTGTGTGTGGCAAGTTTAATTTCAAAGCATCTAGCAAGTTATATTTTGAGCAAGTGACAAGCTATTACATAAGTAGCTACTATATGTAGAACATAAGTTACCATTATATAAAGTATATTCCAAAATATAGGCATCATGGGTCTAGTTCTATAGATCTCATCATAAGAAACATAATGGTGCAAATAAAACTAAAACCAGACTAGGTACAAAAAAGTTATCGCATTTTTAAAAGGAAGAAAACAAAACAAAAAAAAATGAGTGGAGCACTACCAGCTGCAGCAAGTGTCGTATCTGTATCAAACTGCATGCACGGCCTTGCATGCAAGGCAGACCAGGCCGCGTGGGCACGGAAGGAGCAGGAGGGCCAGGCCGCATGGGCGCAGGTCGCGCACAAGCGCTGGAGCGCGACCTGTCGTCGGTTAGACTTTGCAAAGGGGAATGCGCGCCTATGCTCCGGCTGGGCCGGCCAGATGGGCTAGAGCGCGAGCGCGCTGAGCCGGATTGGCGCCCTGGGCTTGCGGAGTCTTTCCTTTTTCTTTTCTGCATAAACTGAATTTTCCAAATCATTTTCGAAAGGAATTTTAATTCAGTTTGAAATAAAACCAGACAATACAGAAATAAATATGCGGCAGCATGTAATGCAGAAATATGTTCCTAACCTTATAATGGATTTTAATTCAACAAAAGTTATTATTTCCTACATTTGAATGCTCACACAATTACACAAATAAATCAATTTGTGCTATTTCAAAAAAATGCAAATTTCAAGGTGTTACAGGTAATACGATGGTATAGACAGAAAGAGACTAAGGGATATAGGGATTGTATCCTCCACTACAAGAGTGACCATGTTGCTGTAAGGAGATTAGTGAGGAAGCTAGGTGGGTGCAAGATGGCGGTGGGCCAATTGATGCTTACCACATCACTGGTTTGAGTGGAGGGCCACTGCATAGATCCATGGTGGTGCTCCGCTGTTGAGGGGTTGGTTTATTGAGCATGAAAGGAGGTAGAATTAAACATGGTGCCTATGCAGTGCTATTGAAGTATGGTGAACGACAGTGCACTATTTATAGGTCACTTGAGGTGTTTAGGGCATCGGTGGATCTCGATGGCTAGGTTGGCGAGTGGATGAAACTGTTACGGGGGTAGGCATCTTCAATTCAACAATAGGTGCTTTGTACCGTCCAGTGGTATTGGAAAATCCCATACTGACCAATATCATTTGACGTTTTATGATATCCTTTTGTACCATTTTCAATTTTTTTCAAAAAGATTAAAGGTATCATTTTGTGATTTTAGCACGGCAATTTTTTTGCTTTTTTGATTAGTTATTATGATACCATTTCTTGCTTGATGGCGGCATGTGTAATGGTGTTGTACCACGAGGTTCAGTAGCTCTATCTTCTTGATTTTTCCAGCGAAATCCATGCATGCATTATAGTTTGTTCATAAAAAAACAATTTTACAAAATTTAATTATCTACTTGAAACATGTTTTATATAAATTTTTACAGCGATGTTCTAGACTACTGATGCGTACCAATTTTTTAATTATTTTACATCAGTCACCAACCAGAAAACATTATTTCTTAATTTTTTTAACAGTGCGTAGGGATATTATAGTTATGATTCTTCTTTACTGAAAGATGTGAAGTATATGTTTAACATGTTCTTATTTCAGTTTGTGGTTATTGAATATGTTATATTCCATATAGTTCTATATACAATTTGATGCATCTTTGCCTAGCGTACGTTCCAACTAAGAAATTAAATAAACTCAAACTATTGCAGATGCCAGGAGTTCTCCTGTCTTCCAGTGGCATACAAGAAGATTGCCGTGGCTAATAGGATGAAAACTTTGAGAGAAAAGCTGAGCAAAGTCAGAAACGAAATTGATAGCTTTAACTTCAGAAAAGGGCAGTAGTATTAATAATGAGGGGTTTGAATTGTCAGCCTTGCAAAATCAATTTACCGAGGCGTTTAATGTGGTCGAGCCTGTTAGAAGCCCATCTCGGCCCAAAACTTAGGCCACAATATATAACCCAAATGAAAACCTAGCTCCAAAATCCACTCACTCTTCTCTCCCACACCTCTCTCCTATGCGCCGCTCAGGCCCCGACTCAGCACCGCTCGACTCTCTTCTCTCTGGCCTCTCTCTTTCTTCTCTCCCTCACCTCTCTCCTCACACGGTGGCCGCGTGCACCGGCGAGGCTCGGCGACGGGGTGCTGTGCGCTCCAGCAGGGCTTTGAAGTGGCGACGCGGCCCCTACGGCGGGCTCAGGCAGTGGCATGGCACGGGGACGTCGGATCCAGCAACGGCGGTTCGCGGGGAGCCTCCCCTCTCCTCCCCCGATGGCGGCGTGGCGCAAGGACGCCGGATCCGGTGGTGGAGGCACACGGGGAGGCAACGGCGGCGGCGGTGGGGCCGTGTGGAGCAAGCGGGCTCGCCGATGGGCTCCAAAATGGGCTCGCTGGTGGGCTTTCATTTTTTTAATTTTTTAAAAATGATTTACCGAGCCGGGCAATACAACGGCCTCGGTAAGTCGGTGATTTACATCGACCTTTGGACCGAGGCGGTTATGATGCCTGCCTCGGTAAATCGAAAACACCCACCCCCAGTAAGTTTTCTGTAGTAGTGAGCATGGCACCAGTGCCGCACAAATTGAGCCCCTTGCAGCATGCGCAAGAGCTTGGCCCGCCGTCCCATTGTTGCCTCCACGCTGAAAACATGCAAGCAAAGCTGGAAAAAGCCCCGCCGCCGCCATCCCGTCAAGCCGCACGGCCTTGCCATCGGCCTGCTCCGGCGGCGGCGCGTTGGGGGAGGGGGAGATAGGGTGCCGCTGGGCTACGGTTTGGGTGGCCTGGGAGAGTAGATGGCTACTATTCGGTTGGATATGCCAGATAGAGCTCAATTTTGGAACTTAGATGGAAAAGAGAATCGGATATGATGCATTTTGGTGCTTTCAGACAGTGCAATATTTATAGGAAATTTATTTGGACATGGAGTGTGGCTAGAAACACATGAATTGGACTTCAGAATCCAATATCACTTTGATGAACGATTTTGAGAAATTTTCAAAGGAGGGGATGGACTATAAATGGATTTACGTGTACGTTTTGTTACTCATGAGTTTTTATTTGTAGAATATATTTTTCTCCAGCATGAGAGACTGATTAGTAGGGCGATGCTGTCAGCCATTGTTTGCTTATATTTTCTTTTAGTGGTTGCCTGGCACCATGCGCTAGATGTATGATTGTTGTCCATGTGTTCATGGACTGGCTCAGTGGTTCCATGGACCATTGGTTGACAATAGAAGTAAGTCCGCCATGGACCCTGCTAATGATCCTTAAGTCCAATTTGGAAATTGCACACATGACGGTCAAACAAGAGGATAATGGGACACGATGATTTAGATAGAGAGAGAGACTTAGGGATACGAGGCCAATTTGCTCCGAAGAGAAAGAAGCCGAGTGTGCTAAAAAATCACAGTAGGTATGTAAAATGATGTTTTCATGGCCTTGTTTTGTCTTGTTTAGTGGAGCACCATGGCTAGCTACTTTCGTCTACTAGTAGAGTGACCATGGTGCAGGCATATGAGAGGGTGAGGATGCTAGGAGGGTGCAAGAGGGTGGTGGTCCAGGTGATGCTTAGGACATCACCATTTTGAATGGAGGGCCACAGGAAGCATACATCAATATTTGTGGTGCACCGCTGTGAAAGAGGTTGGCTTGGTGCCTATGCAGTACTATGGTGCCTATGCAGCACTATCGAAGCATTGTAAAGGGGCAGTGCTCCTACAGGCTTCTTGAGGTGGTTGAGACATTAATGGATCTCGATGGCTTAGCCGGCGAGTTGATAAAATAGTCATGGTGGCAGGCATGACTCATGCAATGACATGTGCTGTATAGTGGCATGGAAAAAATCTTATAAAGACCGATATCATTTTACATAATATGATATCTTTTTGGTCATTTTATTTTTTATCAGAAACAGGCAAGTTCTCATTTTATGATTTTAGCACAGCGGTTCTTACTGTTTGTTCATTAGTTATTAAGATATCGTTTCTGGCTTGAAGAGACACCTGTGTAGTGGTGTTCTACCTCAAGGTTGAGTTGCTCAATCTTCTTTGTTTTACATTTTAAGGAAATACTTTCATTATAGCTATTATTGAAAAAACAATTTTGACAACATTTAATTATCTTTATTTTGAACATATTTTATATAAATTGGTAAGGTGTCACCTCCCAGATCATGTAGATATTTTTATATTTTCCAACAAAGAGTGTAAGTAATATGAATGGTCCCCTAGTGATGTTCTTGGCTATTAATGCAAACAATTTTTTTCATATTTAATAGAAATATGAAACCAAAAACAATATTTCTTAATTTGTGTGTGACAGTGTGTAGGGATATATTATAGTTTGATCATTCTTTACTAAGAGATTTCAAGTATCTAGCATGTTCTTATTTCAGTTTGTGGTTATTGAATAGGTTATATTCATCATAATTTTATACAATTTGATGCATCTTTGCTTAGTGTAGGCTCCTACTAAGAACTAAATCTGACTCTTGCATACGCCAGGAGTTCTCTCATGTCTCCCAGTGGCATACAAGAAGATTGCTATGGCTAATAGGATGAAGAGTTTGAGAGAAAAACTGAGGAAAATTGAAAAACAAATTGCTATCTTTGACTTCAAAAAGGGCAGTAATACTAATAATGAGCAGCCTTATGATGAACGTGAAACAACATCATATTTGCCTGAAGAACCATTGATCGGAAGGGACGGAGAAAAGCAGGAAATCATAAAGCTGTTATCTGCAAATACCAACAACGATGAGATAGTGATTGTCACTATCTGTGGCCTTGGAGGTATGGGTAAGAGTACTTTGGCAAAACAAGTTTACAATGATGCCCAGTTCAAAATGTATGATCATCGTATATGGGTTTATGTGTCCAAAGACTTCAATTTGAACAAAATAGGAAGATCTATCATTTCTCAACTACCAAGCCAAGGAGGTCCACAAAATATGGGAATACAGCAGGTGATAAACCAATGCCTTGAAAACCTACTCCTAGGCAAGAAGGTTCTGATTGTTTTAGATGACTTATGGGAGGAAAAGATGACCGAGTTGGACAAACTGAGAAGAATGCTTCAGGTCAAGGGCAGTAAGGTAGATGTCGTAGTAACTACACGCAAGGAACAGATTGCAAGGAAACTTTCCACCGGTGAACCATACAAGCTACGACCTTTGGAAGATGATATATGTTGGGAAATAATTAAGAGATCTAGCAGGTTTGAACTGAAACCTAACAAAGAAAATATGGAGCAAATAGGATTGGATATTGCAAAGAAATGTGGAGGTGTGCCATTAGCAGCTCAAGTAGTTGGATCCATGCTACAAAAAATAGATGATCTGTCTGGATGGATTGAAATAAATAGCAGTGATATCTGGAATATATCTTCTGAAGACAATGATGTGCTTCCATCCTTGAAATTAAGTTATGAAAGGATGCCACCACAGCTCAGGGTATGCTTTTCCTATTGTTCCATATTCCCCAAAGGCCATAATATTGTCGGTGATGATTTGGCTCAACAGTGGATTGCTCTAGATTTTACGGAGCAATCAAAGGCAAAGGAATATATCAAGCAACTTCTGGGAATGTCCTTTCTTCATGTTTCAAAGTTGCCCTCGGTATGCTACATACAACTTCTGGAACACTACTTTTTCCTGATGATTATAACTATGTTGATTCCTATTGTACGTCATGCTTTCATATAGGCATGTTGCATGCATAACATATACACTATATAGTTGATGGGCCTTGCATAACATATTACTTTTTCCTGGTTCAAGTAATTCACGTTCAAGACCCCATCCCTAGCATGTAAAATAAATAAACAATTTAAATACCAACACGTTCACATTTCAATTTAAGTAAATAACTAAAATACACCTCAATATTTGTCACACTGAACAAAAAAATACAACTCAAGTTTAGCATCATGGGATAAATGACAACTCCACATAGATCAATGAGTTGAAAAAACAAGACATGTATGTATGGAACCATCGGCATAGACCAATTAATTAAAAAAACGTTACATGTTATGTTGAGAAACATTCATATATATGCCTTTGCATGTTTGCATGCATGTTAGATCTAATTTATAGATACTTTACCTAAAATTTGGCTTACCTTCCTATTTCTCAAAATAATAAAGTATAGTTCTCTTTTTTGAAGAAACAAAGTACAGTTCTCTTATTAACTGTCAGGAGGTAATATGTAATTACAACCATCCAGATCAACGGTCCATAGTTATTTGGGTGCACCATAGCAAAACCCATAGTAGATAATTAGTTGAATGATTTTCCCTTATGCATTTCTAGTTGTGGTAAAAAAAATAACACTAAGTGGCAATATGCTTGCCCGGAAGTACATATTTTATCTAGTCCTAAAAAGCATGATATATACAATCAAATATAGTTATAGGTAATATCATGTAAAGTAGCATGTAGCTTCACTAAGTACTTTTTGGGTCTTTTAAAAAAAAGTACTTTTGTGGGCCCCTCTCTAACCACGCTGGGAACATGTCTTGTATTTCACCAAACAATCCAGTTCGTGTATCCTTCTTCATTCGGTGGACATTCTGGTGATCCTATTCACAGTGACTTCAATTCGTGCGCCACCTCTGAGCACACTATCACTACGGGATACACTAGTTTTGCCGAGTGCTAGGGGCACTCAGCAAAGGCCCAAAAACACTCGGCAACTGCTTTGCCGAGTGTAACACTCGGCATACAACACACGGCATCTGTGTGTCGACAAACAGCTATTTGCCGAGTGTTTTTTATCGCGCACTCGGCAAATGGTTTGCCGAGTGTTAAATTTAACACTCGCAAAAATAATTAGTTTACCGAATGTTTTTCAAAATACACTCGGCAAACCTATTTTCCAAAAAAAATAATTATCCGGACAGCAAGGAAATCAACCCCTGTGGATGCAAACCAATAATCATTCAGCAGTTTGAAGCACACCAGGCCACACCAGGCCCGAAGTGCGCCGTGGACCAGGCCGCCGCCCCCGACGCCGGTGAAAGCCGGAGAGCACCACCTCTGACCCGCTTCGGCTCAAACGCACGGAGCTGGTGCTGCTCGCCGCCGGGGCTCCGTCGAGGCTGCTGTGCTCGCCCGCGAGATCGCTGCACGAAGGCACAGAGCACGGCACCACCACTTCATCCAATACCTGAAAGGCACAAACACGTTCAAAACACTCACACCAGAGGCTCGGAGAGTCAAAAAGCACTCCCTCACCTGGCCCCAACGTCGACGATGGCTATCAACCGGGCCCCGACATCGACGATGGCTACCGTCGTCTCCTTGGCCGTCGACCCGCACCATCTCCTTGGCCCGCCGCCTCATCCTCAGCAGGTGAACGGGCGAGATCTAGCGCCACCATCTTCTCGGCCGGCACTGCCTCGCTGGCCTGCCACCTCTTCGTCAGCTGATGCGTGGGCGAGATCCTGCGCTGCTATGTGCTGGGGCCGCCCCAGGCTCGCTGGTGCGGGGCGAACTCGCGGCTGCGCCGCTGCGGGGAGACGTCGCGTCGGCGCTGGTGCGGTGCCGCGTCGCGCCGCCGTGGCACAGCCGGTGGAGGTGGCTGCTCCCGTCGCGGCGGCGATGCAGGCACGCGAGGTGGAGTCGGCGAGGCAATGGAGGTTGGATGGGGATTTTTTTTCTTTTTTTTTTGCCTGGCGTCGATGGTGGGTTGGGGAAAGGATAAGTCCAAGGGGAGCAAGCAAGCAGGAGGGGCGGGTCGGTTTATTAAGTGGATTTTTGTCCTTCGTCAAGTGTTTTAATCTGAGCATTCGGTAAAATAATTTTTTTTTATTTTTTTCTTTTTATCTTTTAAAAGAAGATTTTTATTTCTTTGTCGAGTGTTCTAAATCTGGACACTCGGTAAAGTTTTTTTTATTTTTTTTCTTTTTCTTTCTCAAAAAAAAATTATTTCTTTATCGAGTGTCCTAGATTTAGACACTCGGTAAAAAAAATTATTTTTTTTCTCTCCTTCTTTCTCAGAAAAAAAATTTTATTTCTTTGCCGAGTGTCCTAGATCTAGACACTCGGCAAAGTTTTTTTTTATTTTTTTTCTCTCCTTCCTTCCTAGAAAAAAGATTTTATTTCTTTGCCGAGTGCAAAAAATAAAACACTCGGCAAACCACCCTCTTTGCTGAGTGTTTTTTTGACACTCGGCAAACCCTTTCTTTGCCGAGTGTTTTTTTTACCGAGTGTTTTTAGCGCAGCACACAGCAAAGGATTTGTTTTGCCGAGTGTTTTTTTTGCCGAGTGTTTTTACCTTTGCTGATGTTTCCGGTAGCGTATACGATCCCATGACATTGTTCTTATCTTCCTCCGCTATGCATATACACACACGCTATGCATTTGTCACCGTGTGGAGTAGTCACGAATGGTGGCAATTCATCCTGTAACAATGGGTGGCTGTGGTATGGAAACTATAACGGGCCAACAAAGGTCTAAAGGGCATAAACCGAAGTTTCTTTGGCCTTTTCAGCCGTACTTCAATGCCAAATATATGAGCATGTTTATAGGTGGTCTAAAGGGCATAAACCGAAGTTTCTTTGGCCTTTTCAGCCGTACTTCAATGCCAAATATATGAGCATGTTTATAGGTTGGAACGTGAGAAAATTATTTTTCACTAGTAACATATAAATAAGCATATTTACTAGTAAATCCAACAACCATAACAATTTGGGATGTAGCTGCAGCGCTTCTTGGAGAACTTAATGTTCTTAATCATATTAGTGGAGCTGTTTAAATTCTTTGTATTTGTATATAAAAAATTTCTTAATAATGCAAAGAAGAAATTTTATACTTGCATAATTGCATATTGTTGTATTCTACTTACTCTGGTAACAAACAATAATTTGTACATATCGTTGTATTTTATACTTCCAATCCAGGCAGTTAGTAGTCCCTAGTGTATATCTTTGATTGGACTTTTGTCTTACAAGCTTGGGATATATAATTATGAAGCCCGATTAATTTTTGTTATAATTGATATTGAAGATTAAATATCATAGACTGCAAAAAACATTAGTTTTGAAGAGAACCTTGTTCAGAAGGACGTCCTAAAAATTCTGCACACGAATTGTACTAGAATTTGGTGCAACTTGTAATTGGATATCAACCTTTTTTTTAAAAAAATTATTACTTAATTCCCTCTCTCCATTCTCATAAATAAACAGGGTTTCCTTGCAGTTTATTTGCATCTGATCGTTGGACTTTACTTCTATTTATAAAATGTGAGCATTAGTTGACATTTCTAATCAATATTGCTATATACTTGTCCTTTCAGACTTCTCGAGAGCAAGTGGTGCGGTACACCATGCATGACCTGGTGCACGACCTGGCAAGATTGACAATGGATGACAAGCTAATAGATTTCAACGCACAGCAGAGAAATACACGTGGCCAGAAATATTGTCGCTATTCATTGCTAAAAAATTATGACCAGACAATAAAGTTGGCAAGTATTTTGCCTTCCAAGATTAGGGCACTTCGCTTCTCAGATAGTGGCGAACTGCATATCCAGAGTGGTGCATTTTCATTTGCGAACTGTCTGCGTATTTTGGATTTCAGTGAATGCTCAGGTATATTGTTGCCAGCTTCAATTGGCAAACTGAAGCAACTGAGGTGTCTTATTGCTCCAAGAATGCAAAATGAGAGTCTCCCGGAGTGTATCACTGAGCTAGGAAAACTGCAGTACCTAAACATAAATGGATCTTCTCAGATTTCTGCACTGCCAGAATCAATTGGCAAGCTTGGATGTCTGAAATATCTATGTTTGTCTGGTTGTTCTAGTATATCGAAACTGCCAGAATCATTTGGGGACTTAAAATGTATGGTGCATCTTGACATGTCAGGCTGTTCTGGGATAAGGGAACTGGAAGACTGGCTTGGTAAGCTCAGGAATTTGCAGCATCTTGACTTATCTGGATGCTCAAGTGTAAAAGCAATACCTGAACCATTGTGTGGCCTCACACAACTCCAATATTTGGACTTATCATCCTGTGAATGCCTTGATCGGCTACCAGAAGCTATTGGAAGTCTCATGGATTTACAATATTTAAACATGTCATCCTGTTACCAAATCAGAGAACTTCCAGAGTCACTGATGAAGCTCCAAAATTTGTTGCATCTAGATCTGTCATGGTGCACCAGCATGCGGTACCTGGGAGGTGTGCGTGGCCTCACCACACTACAGCACCTGAATATGTCAGGGGTATGGGTATTTGATAATGGTGTTCAAGATTTATCATATGTTTTGGCAAACCTCACCAATCTCAAGTACTTGCGCCTAACAAATTCAATCATACACGGCAGGGGTAGTTATGTCTTCCCTTATGGGATCGGTGGCCTTACCAATCTGGAGCACCTGGACCTATCTTATAATTGTAATATTGCATCTCTTCCAGAAAGTTTTGGTAACCTCAAAAGATTGCATACACTGGATCTTACGGAATGTTCTGAGCTTAAGTCCCTACCAAAGAGTATAGGTACACTTGGGCTGAAGACTTTATTGCTGGATGGGTGCTCGGATGAACTGCTGGATCAGGCCAGTTCCCTGGTAAATTATTCACAAACATTACCACTCTTCAAGGTTCGTGCAGATGAGTTCAATGGTTGCAGCAATCTTCCTCTGCTCGAGGGCACCCATGTCAGTGAGTTAAGAATACGTTGTCTTGAAAATGTAAGGTCTCTAGAAGAAGCAACTAAAGTTAAGTTGTCAGACAAACATAATCTCTCGAAGTTAACATTGTCTTGGTCTAAAAGATGCAAGCGTGCGGTTCAAATTTTGGAGGACAAAGATTTGTTGGAACAACTAGTGCCACCAACTGGTTTGAAGAGCATGTGCCTCCAAGGTTACAGCAGTACAAGCTTTCCAGGCTGGCTCATGTGCATTTATCGTCACCTCATAAACCTTGTTTCTATCGAACTCAGCGAGATGCCTACGTGTAGCAACCTGCCACCACTTGGGCAGTTACCACACCTAGAAAAGCTGGAGCTCTGGAAATTGCCTGGCATTAAAAGAATCGACAGTGAATTTTGTGGTGGCAAAGGAGCATTCCGTCGATTGTCATCCTTCGAAGTCTCATACTGTGTTGAGGATGGTGTGGAGGAGTTCATGTTCCCTGTGTTGGACCGTCTGGAGATTGGCTACTGTAAAAGGTTGAGGTTGAAGCCATGCCCACCAACATTTCGTGATTGCATTATATATAAGAGCGACCAAGTTATTTCATCATTGGAGGAGGTAGACATAACCAGTCATCACAGCTCTTCCTCTAGTGGGGCCATCAAATTGGATTTGACTATACAGGACGACTCCAGCCAGAGCATGAGGCTATTCCACCACTTCCCTGCCCTCCGAGAGTTGACAATCTCTAGAGTTCACCTGACAAACGTGCCGGAAAGCATGCGGCACCTCACTTCCCTTGAGTCGTTGACGTTGCATAGGTGCGATAGCATATCAGCCCTGCCTGAGTGGCTGGGCCACCTCTCCTCCCTAAAAAGCCTTGCCATCACAGGATGTGACGGCATCAAGTCGTTGCCTGCATGCATACAGCAACTCACCAAGCTTCAGACGCTGGTGATATTTCGTTGCACGGAACTGGAGAAGTGGTGTGAATCAGAAGAGAACAAGACGAAGCTGGCTCACATCAGCAATGTTCGAGTAAGTTCACTGCATGCAGATCAACTGCACTTTATCTAATTTGTAATTTCAGCCTTCAAGTTTTTCTCTATACGGTGACATATATAGTTGCTGTTTGTTTGCAGCACCCAAATTATCTTTTATTGTAGTGTATATATACACTCTGCTCTTTAGTTTGTTTGCATTATCTTCATGCAGTACATTATTTTACTTGCCGAATACAAAAGTAGGAGAGTTATACCAGGAGGGAAAAATTTAAGAAAGTAATTCAGAAGCTCCACTCGTCGTCCATGGATTAATTAGTTTGGATGCCTAAATTGAACAACTGCACTATACCAGTTTCTTCGGTCGGAGACATTGAGACAGATTAGTGTAAGACAACTATTTCAAAGGAGACATTTGTTTTTGTCGAAAGAAAACAGAATATTGATGATGATGTTTCAAAGTAATGAAAGTAAGACCTTACGTAATAAGTGCTTAAACATGGGAACGGTTATTTTGTTTTATATATGCATTGTGCACAAGGTTTTTTTTTTGTTGAATTACCACCCATAGCTAATTAACTAGTACACATTATATATATTTGCGTGTGCAGATTGGTTATGACTGATTGATTGGTACTTGGTAGCATGACAAGGAAAAAAGAAGGGTGTCATAAGAGAAGTGCATAGTGCATAAGAGACTGCTATAGGATCTGGACATATCCTTTTGTTTCTTATTAAAAGGTGCAACTTCAGTAATGACTACCTCGATCGGCGGCGCCTCACGTTGCTGAGGTAGAGAGCTTAATGGCATTCCGAGGAAGTGCCGTGCTCCCCTGCTCTGCTCCCTGCAACTCCATCACTCTGTTTGGCCTCATCCACCTGAACAACATTGCGGCCACCGATGATGAGCTCACGGAAACCAGTTGTTGGATCCACTGCCTGCTATATGGATGGCCATCTCAGGATCAATTCTGTGATCCTCCGTCATATATTTTGTATCTAATAAGTGTACCTTTGTTTGATACTAGTATTGCTTTGAGTTGTACTTTATAAAGTGTCTATTGGTACTACTACTACTACATGGAGTATATATTAAGGAGCTTGCGCGCTGCTTTTAGCGGTGCTGTCCAGCAGGTGGCCACTGTCACTCGGGGAATCGGGGTCTCGGGCAATTCCATCTTAAGCCGCAACCAAGGTTTTCCGGCGCAATATTGCTCGCATGGACCTGATGTCTTTTTTGTTTCTTTGGCAACTTTCCATGCCATGCATATTTTTGGAGGTGGTTCCTTTAAGTAAAATACCCTCAGGCAGCGATTTCAGTGTTACTATACTCTGTAACGACACGACCTGCAGGCTGTAATAGCTCACTGCCATGTGGGCCAGGGTGAGGCGCTGTTGTCCAACCGACACAGCTGTAAGCCTTCTGGCAACATAAGCCGTGGAGCGAGGGCCAGAGACGGCATCGATGTACTTCTTCTGAACTCTAATACGAATAGAAGCTGGGCCGCAATACCCACGTTGGGGAGGGAAGGCAAACTAATCCACAGAGATATTTGGGCTTGGGCCCCCGTATTGAATCTGCATATCCCCCTTGGCCCACTGCATGCGTACCAATGGAAACTTGGTGCAGGACCACCGGCCTGCTACCAGTGCGAGACACGTTGGTCGTGCCTGATGAACAAATCGTACGGTAAGGGTGTGTTGGACACACACTGCATATCTTGATCATTATACGACATACATACGGTAGGCATATGTACATACGGTAGGCATATGTGCAGCCGAACCGAATTCCAAACGGCCAAATAAAGGAGAGAACCTCGTAGGCTAGGCTACCCGTCGACTAGCTAGGAGGCCTACGAAGAAGTCTCTGAGCCATGCAAGTCGCCGTGTAGCGGCCAATAAAGCATGTGGTTCGATCGTCGCTCGCGGTCGGCTCGCCCATACGACCATACTCCTACTCCACACCACACACACACAGCGTCCTGACACTGCCACGATTCAACCGAGTCGGCATCAATCAACCGATTCATTCAAAACCCCCCGGGCCGGGAGGCCCGCAAGGCCGCAGGGGTGGGTCCGCATCATGGAGCAGCTCGATCGGCGCACGTTTACTCCTGCGCACGATCTGCGCGCTGGGATGGGGCCGGGCACGGACGCACACTTGCAGGAATCATTATATCTTGGCGCGTGTTTAGTTTACAGAATTTGGGAATTTGGGCTACCGTAGTATTTTCGTTTTTATTTGGTAAATAGTGTTCAATCATGGACTAATTAGGCTCAAAACGTTCGTTTCGCAATTTTCAACCAAACTGTGTAATTAGTTTTTTTTCGTCTACATTTAATGCTCCATGCACGTATCGCAAGATTCGATGTGATGGATACTGTAACACTTTTTGAAATTTTAGGGTGGAAACTAAACACGCGCTGATCATTATATACGACATACATACGGTGAGACTCCGATCCATGCATCCAGTATAATCCTGCCTCCCGGCAGCAACAGGAGCCGGAGGGGAAACGAGATGGAATATTCAGAAAACAAAGGTCTGTTCTTCTCCTTCTTCTATAACCCTGTACTCCCTCTGTCTAAAAATATCTATCGCTTTCGTTTTTCGAGAAACAACTTTGATAAAATATATATTACAAAATATTAATATTTATGGTACATAATTAGTATCATTGGAAAGATCTTTCAATCTAGTTTTTTAATAAATTTATTTAAAGATATAAATATTATACGTATTTTCTACAAATCGAATTAAACTTGTGGCACGAAAATCGGAAACGATAAATAATATGGGACAGAGGGAGTACTTCCTCTGCTGTTCTCTAATTCCTTACTGCTCTCCTCATTCCAGCTATCGGTTGCTAACAATCGGTAACAGAGCCATCGATTCTCGGTTCCCAGTACCATGAATCCCACTACTGAGATCTCGCCTTCTACCTCCTTCTCGACAAAATCCACAATCTCTTCGACGAGTTCAACCGGAAGCTCGACAAGAGCGAGGCTCGGTGGGAGCGGCGCGACTCCGAGTCCCAAGCCGCACGGGCGCAGCGGGTCGCCGCCGTCGAGTCCCGCGTCGACATTCCCAAGCGGATCCCTGCAGCACAGTTAGATGCCGTGGTGGTCGCCGACAACTGGAGTGGGCTGTTCGAGCAGCCAGCTGACTTCCTGGAGGTGCGCGACCTTGATCTCTCCGACGCACCGGCGGTTGCTCACAACTGGGGCGGGCTCTTCGACGGGGGCAACTACTTCTCCACCTGCTCCTCCTCCGCCTCGGTCACGCCCGCACCTTCCGCCACCACCTCGGTCGTCTAGAGCACCACAGAGTTCATGCTGGCCATCCAGAAGACGCAGGTCGCACAGCAGGAGGCCGAGCACTCCAGGGTCCTCTTCGCGCACGCCGAGCAGGAGAGGTGCACCACTGGGCCATTCCTCAAGGAGAGCGCAACAGCGGACGCCGCGGACCCCGCACGGCTTGATTCGTCCTCCCTCGCGCCGCTACAGCCGCAGGCTGACGAGGCGGGAGCGTCCGAGTCAGAGGCCGCAGCTCCTCCATCCGTCGTCGACGAGCCGTACCGTGCACTAATTCAAGAGCTAGTACAGCAGAAGTGTGGTGGCAATTATCGGTGTTCCTTGCTTCAAGGGATAGGACAGAAATTTCGAGTTGCAGGAGGACCCATGGATCACTGGCATGCTAAGGCCTCGTTCGGCAACCTCGGAATGCTTCCAGACCAGGATCGGAACCTGGCATGGTTTGAGTGGTTCCGTGCGTGTCACTCAAACCAGGCCTAGGTGCCATTCCATCCGGTTTAATTTCCACACATAAAAAAATTATTGTTCGGCAATACAGGCTTCAAACCAGGACTATACCAGGAACGTGCAACACAAACTGAACTGTCTAGTACTTGAGGCACGCAAAGTCACACATTCAGCCATACTCCTCCGTGTGCAAACACTTGTAAAAAAATCTTGCTACTGATGACATAATAACACAACAAGTGCAGTAGTTTGCTCTGCACGAGTAATCGGCCGCTCAAGTTAACACCACATCGAGTAATGCTATATGAGTGACTGGGAGTTGGGAGCCACCAGGCAGTAGTTTGCATCTGGTACTGAACTTTAATGACACTACAGCAGAAATTCGACATATACTTGAGTAGAATCGATCTCTTCAAAAAGACTAGGGGTCCTTACAAGCATTTCTATTTCATCATTAGAACTTGCTCCACTCATCAACCACAAAGAGTCATATCCCCACCAGAGTGGTCCAACCAAGCAGGCAACCAAAACACCAGTGGAACAAGTCAGTTGAGGGACAAAACAAGCAAAAGCTACCATGTCCTACGGTGTCAGAATTGGGCTAGTTTCGGTGTGTCAATTACAGCAGCTTGTGTGGACGTGCAAACGTCGGTTACCCTCAACTACAATGTTGAAGACAGGCCTAAAAAGATTTCTAGTAATGCAAGTGTTAATGAGCATGAAAAAGCTCGACTTGAAATGGAGAATGACTAGGTGTAGTGATCTCAACTCTAAACCAAATAGAGGCGGCATTGGATTGTAAGGAGCATAAGCAGCAAAAACAAGTGCAGGCAAAGGAAATTAAACCACAAAGAAAATTTCATCCTTCTGTATAGGCAAAGACACAATAATTAAAAAAACACCATAAGCAGCTCCTAATTCAAGCACTTTCTTGGACCTAGAATGAGCTACAACAAGTGCAGTAGCCCTGCTAATTGACTAAAACCCACCCCATTTCAACCCCACTCCAAATCAAAGGACTTTGTTTTCTCAGCCCACCCCATATCACTTGTTCCAGGTTATAAACAACAACAACAACAACATTATGTATAATAACTTATGATGCATATTATTATTAACTGCAAGGAAATATAATCGCAATGGTGACACTTATGATGCATATTATTATTAACTGCAAGGAAATATAATCGCAATGGTGACAACAGACAACTAGTGACAAACTGATGTTCCCAAGGCCAATATTAGTTGGGCTACAACAACTGATTAGACAGCTAATGTGAGCGTCAATTTGAGAAGGGAAGCAGCAGCTACTACTTCCTGTCAATATATCCTGAACTAAAAGTGAGATCAGTCTTTTGTTTAAGTCTACACTTCATAGGTACTGAATGAACAGTGCTACACCTATCTACTAAAAATAGCCAAGTAGGCCTTGCCTACTATACTGAGATGATGAGCCAAATCAAAGTTTTTAGCAATTAAGTAGATCGACACTGTTAGACCATCGCATTTTTGAGCCAAATCAAAGTTGCTTCTCGATCTAGTTCACAACCACTTAGGAAGGCCTCTCTATTTTCTTTGCTCTTGATGAACACTGCAAATGCCTTTGCCTTTTCTTCCTTTGTCACTTCCATTGTGCTCAAAACGGATATACACCTTTTGATAGAGAAGTCATTACCTTGAGCAACCTCCTTTTCTTTTGCTAGATCTGCAGACTCATCTTGTACTTGCTTAGTCCTCATGTCTAGGTATCTCCCCATCATTTCTTCAATCCTCTCACCCTTCTTAGGTCTCTTTTCTTCCTTTTCATGTTTTTTGCTTGATGTAGTAGTAGTTCTTCGCTGCATGCTTCTTTCAACAGCT